TGATGTTTACTACGAGCACGTGAAGGACTTCGTGAAAAAGTATGACACTGCGGCGAAGGAGGCAGAGACATTAAGACAGAGGAATAATGTTCCTTACGATCACCAGATCTCGGTCCAACGGACTGACCTGCGTTTTATTTGGTGATGACTGAATTGAAGTCAGAGACCAATGAACAAGCTGAGAGCTGAAGGACGCTGCAGCGACTCTCAGCAGGGACGATTCAAAGTGTGGATGTCTGTGGGTCAAAGACAGTCGTCCACTTGATGACTTCATGTGTCCATTATTTCTGAACCCCTGGACTATTTGTGTTTGCAGGACTTCACGTGGTTAGCTGCCTCCACCAAGAAGGTCGTGTTGTCACGCCCGTCCAATTGTACGTTGGTTGGTTTGTGTCTGTGTCAAAATGTGCTCTGTGAAAAAGACCTGTAGGTTTTTTACACGTTTCAGAAACATGTGAAGAAAACATGTGAACTCTTTTGAATCCTAACCATTGTAAGAGTGACCAGCAGCACATGTAAATCAACTAATGAAACTCTTATCATAGTTTGAGCTGGAGAGAGAAAGTGAAGCTTCCTGAAAGGTCACAGGGTGTGATGGGTGTCAGAGGAGCTGCTGATGTACCAGTAAAGTGCGGATGACCTGCTGGTGGCTCCGGGCTGGAGATGGGAGATGGTCCACCGGCTCCTGGATGAGTTGGCACCGACGCACAGCCTCCTCAGCTGCTCCCGGCTCAGCGGCGCTGTGGCCCGGCCTGTCTCTGTCTCCTGCGGCCGCTCTTCTCTCCGCTCCTCCGCGGCGGTGCCACAAACTGCCGCGCACCAGCGCTTCCTCCGAAGCCGTGCATGGTCTGTCTGCGCGCGTTTCCGCGTTTGTGCCTCCATCACTGGAGCGAGCTGCTGCTTCACCAAGCCACCTCACATAACCCTGCACAAGTTTCCTGTTGGGACCTTCAAACTAAACCAACACCTCGGTTTGCTTATCACAGCATATTTAAAAAGAAAGAATCAATAAATCAATCAAATTGTATTTGTATAGCACATATTCACAAATAACTTAACAAGGTGTGACGTCTTCTGTCCTTAAAGGTCCAGTGTGTAATATTTAGGTGAATGGGATCTATTGGCAGAATATAATGAATATAAATTAATTCTAACATTGTTCTCACAACGGTGTTTCATCTAATTTGTACAAATTGTTGTTTCTTTACCATAGAATTGCATTTAAAACATTTAAAAACTTTATATTAACACCGGGAGGGGACCCTCTCTACGGAGGACGCCATGTTCAACACCTTTTGAGTTTTCATAAAAAAATGAAAGGCTGCCACAGGTGAGGTTTGGAAGGGGAGGGTGAGGTGAGGGGTGTTCAGCCCATGGCCCTAATCATCTTCCGTTATATACAATATATAGAAAGTTGAAACAATAGAATTCTGAATTTAATCTCTGCAGTCTACATAGACAGATGCACTAATTGGTAAATTATTGAAATATCCACAGAACATTTTGTCACATGGCCCTAATCAACTTCCTTATTCCAGAGAGAGGCACAATGAAATCACTCCTGCAAGAAAAGTCAATGAACATCAATAAATCAGACGTGAAGATTTCGTACTGAACAAAAGGCTATTTTCAGTTCTCGGAGGGGCCCGTCTTAGTTTAGGGGGCCCTGCTTTGCCCACCCTGCTGAATATTTTAACACAAAGAGGAGACGTTCACAGAGGACGACTAAATAATAAAGATAGAGAAAATTATAAAATGCTCAACTGACCTGACAGAATATTCACTGAGTCAGTTTCAGACGCATGACACTTGTCTTATAGAAAAGCTTTTCCATGCTGCAGTGGAAGGTTCGCCTTGTCTTTGGGATAAAATAGAGCACACTGCCATCTGCTGTCAGAGCTCAGTCAGCGAAGAACCAGATGAGGAAGCAGCCGACCAGCAAGTCGAAACCCTCACGCTGCTGAAGTGCCCATGAGCTGTGCAGTAAAGCTCTAACGTCAGCCGTCTGCTGTGGTGTGACTGAGCCTGTTATCTTCATGGCCTCCTGTCCAGGAAACTGAGATAGCAGCTTTGATTCAATCACACAGGAACTTGTGTTTTCTGAGAAAGTACAGATACAACAGAACAGAAAACACTGCTCATCCTTCCAAGAATCAATAGATATCCATATAGTTGGTGACAAATAATGACGAGTTTCGTTGTGCTGAATCCATCACGGCGATATTCTCAACTGTGTTTCATTTAGTTTGAGATGATTTGATTGAACACAACTTAATTCAGGAATGTGGAGGATGTGAATATAATATAAACTACAGTGATTAAAACTGTTTTAAAGATTTTAAAACCTGCCTCTACCACAAGAGGGGGCCAAAAGATAAAGTGATATTACACTTTGTTACCTGACCCTCGGGGACAAGCCTAAAAGATTATGTCTATCAAACATTATGTCAGAGAATTAACGGAAAACTACTGACCCATGAATCACTGACATGTGGATGAGAGCACACTGAGGCCTGTGAGAGTGCACTGGATGTCTGTAGCACTGAATACCTCAATGATCTGATGAGCTGCGTTACTTTATTCTGGTTTGTTTTCAGGCTCTGCAGCACGAAGGATATATTTCAGTGAGGAGAAAGACTCTCTTTGCACTTAGTCTGTGGACACAGACAACTTTCAACTCCAACCCATAAATCTTTATTGGTTGTTTTCCACTCTGCTCTTAAAGGAGAAGTCCCATCATGCACGTCACATGTGTGCACGTTAGCTGAAGAGATCCGGTTGATTCAAACTGTTTCAACATGATATCAGTGTTTTCTCTTCTGAATGAGTTGTGTATATATTTATCGTGGTTATCAGCTTAATCCTGATAGACGTGTTTGCTCTGCGTTTGTTCTAGATATTTCTGGTAGATAGTGTTTTGTTGCTCTTCTGCACACACACACACACACACACACACACACACACACACACACACACATATATGTCGGACACAGAACAAATGTAATGTTAAACCCTTAAAAACCCTTTTCTCTGGTTTAATTCCATCAGAGAGTCATGTGTGTTACGACATTCTGATGGGCCTGATAAAGTTGCTGTAGCAGGGAGGAACCAGTTTTTTTTCTCATCCACTCTGACATTGTTAAGGATTCTGTGTGCACGTACTACATTCCACAACTGCAGCTGTGGGTTTCACTTCTTTACCTCAGATACCAACAAAATAAATGGTTTGCCACATGTTACATGATGATATTTCTGGAAAGTGTCTCTAAAAAAAAGACTGGGGGACAAAGACGGAACAAAATAACTGGAATCAAACCGTAAATTAAGGACTGAAGTCTGCGGATTGCTCAACCCTTCTGCCCTTGAGAGCCCATAACACAGCAATTACTCACATCCTGTGTTTGTTGAAAATTCTTCTTAACTGAGTTTCAGCTCCTCATTAAACCACATGATGATGATACAGCGATTATGTATATTAGAAAAGATTATTTCAGATGTGGCACCAACCACTATGCTTCCTCCACATCACAGACCGTCCACTTATCTTAGTCTGCATGTTGGAATAAACATTTTTATTCCTCATCTTGTCAGCCTGCTTACACCCTGTGTTTCTGCCTGCCTCAGTCAGTCAGCCGGTGAGTTTGCCCGTCTGTCCGTCCCGCCTGAATCCTGTCGGCCTGATCGCTCTGCACCTACAGCCGAGCCGCTGAACTCTGCCACACCACACACCAAACACGACATCCGTGGCAGAGACCTCTCGCGCCAGCAACGTTAAACTGTCAATCATTGTCTGAGTCGTGAGTTTGGGTCCAACCCTTGCTCCAGTTAAAACACATCCAGGCAGCTAGAGAGCAAATAACCCCAAAAAGGAAATGTGGGGTCCCGCAAGGACACATTTTAGGGACGCTGCTTTTGAATCTTTTTTCATTGATATGGCTTAATGCCTCGGGTTAAGACTCAGGAAGGTTGGGCTTCATTTAGGCATGGAAGGCCGAAGCAGCCAAGGACAAACAGGAGGTGAAGTCAGGGCCTGGGCAGGACTCGCTAACAGGCAATTAATTAAACAGGTAATCCACAACCAGCAACTATAAAGAGATAGGGTGGAGAGCACAACAGAGAATCTAGGAACAGGTCGAGTCTCGTGGCTTGAAGGTGGGAAAGGGGTTATTATCTGGCCGGAGGGTGCGGCACATTCTTCTTCACAGATGTCAAAACAACAACCTTATCGTGCAATGCCCGAAGAAAGCTTCTACAGATCCACTCCAAACGTTAAAAGGTTCTTTCCACCTCACCCTTCCACAGAGTTAAAGTTTCAGACCCTTCCCCTTTGCTGCCAAGCGTTCTGATGTTTTTTCCATCAGCAGCCCTTAAACTTTTGGCAGCCGGGCTGTCACATGATTTGCCCCCATTAGATGAGTCGTTCCCTCCCAGCTGAAGTTGCAGGCTCTTTGATACGCTTCTCCTCCAGTGTCTCATTGCAGGTAGTGACCATCCGAGTCAATAATAAACTGGTTCACAGCCCGGGCGTGCCTGGAGAACATAGTTTTATCTGCTGGTAAATTCCATTTAGCTGAGAGGAGGCTCTCTGAGAGCTAGACAGTAATTTTCCGATTCCTGCCATCTGCCCAAAGTAATCTGAGTCGAGATGCTCAGTTAATAGTGGGTGTGCCAGGAAGAGCAAATTCATCAGAACATTTGCATCAAGAATATTTAAAAAAGTATTACTGTATTATAAATTACGTATAAAAATGAGGTATTGTAACAAGTCAATAAACTGTACTACCCCTATATCCCAGGAGACATACTAAAGAAATATGTTAGCATTGTTCAAATAATAAACTGTGAATTAACAGTCATACTTAGGCAATACTTGTTAGTGCAAACAATATTGTTATATTATTCACTGTTATATTAGTCCATCTCTCAGACTGTTTAATGGTGTGAACTTATGCTGAGCCATATTTTTGTTTTATACTCTCTGAAATAAACCACCACCAGTATTTTGTCAAAAGGCCTTTATTGAAACTACACACACACACCCCAAAAAATGCAGGGAACTAAATACATTCATATATATATGATATATTTACCCCTTCATACATCTCACTGAGGCAGAACTGTGTTTTTCCGATCACAATGTTTGCAGGTATACAAACTCTCATCAGGTACACCCCCTCTTAAGCTTTATAACCACGCACCCTCCTCTGAGACACACCCTCTACATCTCAGCAGAAAATTATAAAAACAACCGGTCCATTTACACACACACACTATCTGAAGAGGAACCTTTGGCTTTGGCAGTCACTGCCAGAGAACTTATTGCCAAGAATGATTGACAGCTGCTCAGTAGCCACCATCCTACAGGAACACAAAGAGACAGCGCGTAGCGCTCACTTTCCCTTCTTCACTCCTCCGCTCACTGACACACGAACTGAAAACATACAAACATACAAAGTCATTGCAAATGATCCTGTGCATACATTTCAGCCATGAAGGTATTCAACAGCAGATGGCCGCGGCCGGCAGCTGACTGAATGCATTCAGGGTTTTTCTACATATAGAAGAGAAATGTGACAGGGCTCAATAACAATGCGACCACCTCAGTGTAAAACTGACCTGCACAGAGGGGTAATGTATGCAAAGTAATGTAGTAACACCCTAACGGGCTGTAAGACGTGTAGTTCTGCTGACATTTCACATTCAAAAGGAGAACAAAATACAAAAATACAAATATTAAAACAGAGAAACTGAATATAAATGACAAAATAAAATGAAAAAACTGATTTGTATATGGACATGATACAATTTTGTACATACATACATACATAACACATGGAAATTTGTATACAGGTTTTTTTGTACAAGCTCAACTATATATAGTGATTAAGCAGCTCAGCTTTAGTGTGATATCATCGAGGTTTTTTTAACTGCCCCACAGAGCAAGTAGTAAATTCAAGCATTCTGTTGCCAGTTTGAGACGTGACACCGTGGGTGAGCCACACCTGCATCGTGTCAGGGTTGTTTGGGGGTAAATATTATGAGCTAGGACTCTAAATGTACCCTGTGGAGTTTTCTTCTGTGTACATTCAACCTTTGTCACCATGTGTGCATGCTAGAGGCCTGACCGACACGGTGCATACATTCCTTTCTTGGTGCATCACCACCACAGTCACTGCAGTCCACAGAAATGGAAAAAAAATCCTTACACACAGATCAAGAATTCTGACGCTGCCAGATTCTGATGTGGCTAAACCGCAGAAATGAGATTAGGTTGCAAACCGTATTGGATGGTTAATGGCTGATACATCTGTTAAATGCTAAAACTTTATTGGATTTGACAACTGCTTCTTAGTCAAATGGAATCAATTTTGAGTTTTGGTGATAACTGTCTTGGTTGTGTAAATACTGTTTGACTAATTGAAGAGAAAACTAAAACAGATTGATTTTGTTTTTCTTGAAATGTAAAAAAACCACTCCACAGCATGGGCACTTCAGATAATGACAATCAGCTCCTAAAACCCTGCATCCGTTAAACAACCAGTGTGTCTCTTCCCTTTCGCTCACCCACCTGCCAACAGGAGACCTGCCAGTAAGAGCAAGCACCACTGCAAAGCTTCTCACATTAAGTGCAACCTGCTATTTCAGGACAGAGGAAACTGATGATGTGTTATGAGAACTTGGTAGAATCAGAGGAGCCGAACACTCACAGGTACCACACTGCCGCGATGGCCGAAGAAATAACTTAACCTTACAGGTGGTGTGGCGGCCCCAGCACACACATTTAGTAAATCATTTACAAAAATAAATATGTACGACACAAAACCATATTCAGCTGTGAGTGGATTTGGGGGGGGGGGGGGGTGAGATGAGGATGTGTCTGTGGGGTTTAAAAAATGTTGTATCCTTTCCCCCTGTCCTGATCACGTCCATTAGTTCAAGAGCGTTCTATGGAAAACTGTCTGCGTCTGAATTCATTGGTTTTTCAGCATATCCCTGCTGCGCCATGTGCAGTCGGGTCAGCCGGTGCTGGGGTGGTGGGCGGGCGTTAGATGACTTTGTATGTCAGGTAGTCGCAGAGCGGTGTCGGAATGGCCAGGGACTCCACCTGCTGGGTGGTCATCACCCGGCGGAGAGCCATCCTGCACATGTGCTGCAGACTGGAAATGCTACGAGGAGACTCCCAGAAGTGCACACTTCCATCCCGAGTCCTGCAACGACAGGGAAAAAAGAATGGTGACGAGATATCCCATAACACCAGCTCTGAACTGATTCAGTTACCTGAAGAGGGAATGAAAAGCTGAATGAAAACTATCGATGAGAAAAACAGAACATTTTGTTTAATTCACCTATGACAGGTCCAAATTAAAGAACCAGCTGCTGGTCTGTCAAAACTCTTTACAATCAGTATTCGGGTTCACAAACCCGTATTTATAGTGTACAGTACATGTTCAGTATCTACACACCTTTGTGTTTGTGAACCACCATATCAGCTCACTCCATCCTGTCAGCACTATGCAGACCTTATCTGATCCACACTACCTTATTTTGCTTTCACAATTCCTCAATTTCTTTTTGGACACCGTCTGTATGGGGGAGGTTCATTCAGTGTCTGTCAGCGTCTTGACTGTTTACTGAAAAAGATAATCCCCCTGCTGGTGCAAAAACACTCACCCCTCTGTTTTTCATTGCAAGGTTGAGTAAATAGTGAACTGTGTGTGGTGTCATTTAACCAGAATCCTCACTGTTCTCTGTTTTGCAGCATGTTTCCTCCTGTACCTCCTAACCTCTGCTTCAGCTCAAATCTCTGAAGCTTCAGTCTATTTACTCACCACGTGGAGTCATAATGCATTAGACACAACTCAGGCCAGTATTATTTTATTTTAAGAGTCAACTTAGTGTCAGGGATCACAGGTAAACTGACTTGTTTTCGATGAAGGTTGGACTTAATACTACTCATTTTCAATCAAGTCTATTAAACCTGTGTTTTTGTAATTACACATGAGCTCAAACACTATTTACTATCAGATGACACAGTGTTTAATCATTTAACATTATTGCACTGGGGTTGTTTTCAGTTTTATTATATACTTACATCTCAGATCCTCCTCATTAAGACTGCAAGAGTGCATTACAAGCACACAGGGCGTTCAGTGGAAGGTTTTTCTACCATCTCAGAACGTGTATGTCCTAAAAATTGGCACCGTGAGCTGAGATATAACATGGCTCCTTTTTGCAAAAGGCAAAAGTCAATAGGGTGTGGCTGGTGTTCTGTAATGTGAGCTATGTGTTTAGTGTGTGTCTGAACACGCTATGTTGTCTTACCCAGCAGAAAGGACACTTCCTTCAGGAGAGAAGGCACAGCATAGGCCATTAGTGAGAGGGGCGATGGCCTGAGGGGCCCTTTCCTCGATGCTCCAGAAACGAACCAATCTGAGCCACAGACAGAGGAAAAAAATAGAGTTACAGTCGTGCCGTATACGTGGAGATGTGAAAACTTTGCTTTGCTTTCTGTCAGCACGCAACACCCCCATAATTCTGAGATTATTACTGATAAAAAGAACAACACTGAGATTAAAAGAAGAGTTTCTTGTTGCACATCTTGAATTCCATAGAAATATATCTCTCTGTGGAGGAAACAAAAAGTCCCTTTTCTAATCATTTGCATGATTTAGGAAGGTTGAATAAATACATTACACTGCTGATCAAAACTTTATAACTGGCTCTGTCTCTAAAAAACTTCAGTAGGAAAGCTGCACTCTGTTTTTCCCCCCACAGCTGCCATTTTGTGGAGCTTCCTGCTGCTGCTACTTTTATCAACATATTTTCCACCACCAGTTCGACGCTTTGCCGGCCAGTGGTCAGAGTGATTAATAGCTACCCTGTGACAGTCATGTGACCCGTCCGCACAGACCGACATACACAAGCTCTGTGCTCTCTGGCCCAAATAACACTCATGACTCCAGCAGGACTTAAAAACAAGCTGCAGCAAACAGTGGAACTTTTCTGCTGCTCCCTACTGTTTACATTATCTGCCCGCGTGCACTAATAGGCATGAGGAGAAAAAACAGCTTTAGTGAACAAACATCCACATGAGAGGTACTCGGCTGAACACGTGGGTTCGTCAGGGCTCATTCTGACGTCACCTTTCAGGGTTTCAGTGTGTTGAAATATAGATGTTTGTTCTGGACAATTTGTGCCGGCTGAATAGTTTATGAATATATTCATAAACTATTCATACTGGCGTGTTTTCATCATAAAACAAGGTCACATATAAAGATAAAAAGTTCCTATAAAAGTGATAAGGGAAGGTATTAAAATCCATCTGAGAGATCCACCACTAAACCCAAATGTGGACACTGAGATGTATGTTAGTGTCTTACCTGTCATCGGTGATGCTGGCGATGTGGCGACCGTCAGGACAGAAGCTCACGCTGCGAACCCAGCGGTCATTTGACCCTCCAGCAAAAATGGGTGATGGAGGAGGGAAGAGATGGCTGGAGAAGGATGAGCGTAAGTGTTCAATAACAGTGACACATGGAAAACAAAAAATGACAAGTCGATGTTTGTGCATGACAATGTGTGTACGACTTTTATTCTCTTGAAATGAAGCAGTGAGCATGTGTATATTGCTGTTTTACAGACAATACATCGACTTTAAGACCCAATTTACACAGTTTTAGCATTAACCATTATCCTCCAAATTCCCTTTGTGACTTTGCAGAGAAAACTGTCCCTATATAAAAATAAAAAATATTTCAGAAATGCCCTCGTCTTACCCAAGTTCCAGCAGGATGGTGCCCTTGTGGTGGTCCCATACAATGACCCTGGTGTCATGAGAGGCAGTGGCCAACAGTGCCCCATCTGGTGAAAACTCACAGGACACCACGTCATTGTGGTGCCCCTCCAGCTTCCGGATCAACTTGTAGTTATCCATGTTCCATAGAAACACCTGCAATGTGAAGAGGGTACTGTTATAGCCTATGGAATGATATGGAAAGAATACAAGTGAGCTATGTTATACTTAGAATTACTATCCTCACATAAAGCATTTAGAAATTAAATTATGCAACAGCAATCAAGACAGAATTAAATTAATGGGCTCAGTGTCATGGTAAAGCTTTGTAACATTAAGAAAGAGCAAACAAGAGCACATGCTACACAAGCAGCAAAATGCAACACTTCACCTACACTGACAATTATTATTAATAATCCAACATTCTATACAATATTATTAAACTACATCAACACTTAAGTTTACACATCTTTTAAAGTGGTATTAAACATACTAAATAAACACTTCCATTATTTAAAAAAAGATTCTAGACAGAAGAGAAAATAAAACAAGCAGTAACTTATGGAACATAATTTTACTCCACTGGTTTCCCCTTTCAGAGGTTTAGTTCAGTGTTTACAAGAGGCTCGCACCTCCGGCAGAGGCCTACGAAGAGAGACAGATACTGCAAGAGAAAAGAATATTTTATGGCCAAAGGGTTGACACCTCTGGCAAAGTGCACACATTCATACACACACACAGACTGGGAGAAAGGTGCTAATCTCTGGAAGACTTTTGTTTGGTTATCAACAGTCAGCCATGGTCTGATTTTTAGTATTAACATCTTTTTCCTCTATAATTCCTGGGCTATCTTTTTAAATTGTATGTTGGTGGAGCATTGCAGATGAAATGCAATTATCTATTGCTGTTTCTCTTTTGCATAAATACTAACTGTTCTTCATGAAAGAAGAAAAAGTCACAGAAGAACTGCAGATAACTGGTCAATTTATCAGCTGTTGTTTCAGATTTGTTCTTATAGAGGTTTCAAGGGAACAGCTGACATGTGTGGGACACAAGTGCTCCGCGAAGGCACATAGAGCTGATTTCATAATTATTTCTTTAGACTAACAGTGAAGTGAAACCTGCACACAATATTTGGAAAGCAATGGCAGCTGCTGGCTAACACTTACGGAGCACTCACACGACCGCTTTGGAAATGTGCTCATTCAATTTGAATGTGGTGACTGTATGCGTTGCCAAACTGCACTGTGGTTGCACTGCTTCACTTTGAGTTGTGTGGGGTGGAAGTTAAGAAAAGCTCAACTTTTTTTGCTTTTTATGTTGTGTGTCCCAAGTGGGAAACTTATTGGCTGTTGGTGTTATGGTGATTGCACCGCCACCAACTATTAGGCATGGTCACCATCAAGCATTAATGCAATAAAGCGTATGTGTGAGTGCTGCGTAACAAAGAGGGGAGTGGGCAGGTTGGTTGTTGAACTGTTGTGGCTGAACTGTTTTATCTAACTTGCCACTGACTGCAGTACAAATGTCACAAAGGAAACATTTAAAGTGACAGTAACAGAAATCCTCATAACAGAAGAGAATCTAGTATGTGCAGATGGTTGATGGTGCTATTTAAAGATGAGGTGGGGGGAGAGTGAAGGTAGGTTTGGGGGAGAGGTGGGGATGAGGTGGAATAGAGGGAATAATTTATGCACCAGTTTAATGAGAGTTTTAAACTGAAATTAATAAAAAATAAACAAAGGAACTGCAACAGCAGAGGTAGACAGACACGGAGCAGCACCTACGTACAGATTGACCTTGCTGGTCAGGTGCCAGGCTGCCCCTGGCCAGGCCTTTGGGCATTGCGCACTGTGCATCCCCGGTTTACACCGGCTGCTCAAAATGTCAGCGCGGCGGTCCTTTCAAAACCAATCACACACTGAGCTCTGCCCCCACCTGTGACAGGGAGAGCAAGACACACACTGTAGGGACACACACAACCTATCAAAGCTACCACCATGTCTACCATTACCACTATGTTAATCTAGAGCTGCAACACTGTAGATAAGGTGAATTAACGGTGGCCAGCCTGCTGAATCATTATCCATAAACATATAGGCCTTAAGGGCTGTAATGTATGTAAGGTAAATAGCAATAGTGAAAACAGTGGTCTGCTCTGCATGCAAACTTCTGAACACCAAAATCCTTTTTTCCCCCAATGCAAACAAAAACCAAACAGAATCTAGGTGCAGTTAGCTCAACTTATAAAGACACCAAGCAACTTGTTCTGTGGTGGGAATGGTAGGACAGGGCAGATGAGGAGTGTTTTAACTTGTAGGTCGATCAAGCATTACTGATCACAAGCAATTGCAAACAGATTAGCTAGCAAACCCATTAAAGTCATTAAAAAGGAACTGGTATACGTACTGCTTTGCCGGCGCCAACTGAACACAAGATGGAGGAGTCTGGGGTGAAGGCGCTGCAGTACACCCAGTTCTGATGCCCCCGCAAAACCTTTGCCATGTTACCTGCAAGACAATGAAGCAGTGTGACACGTGTTTTACTCTCACAGCTACAAAGCGGTCACGAACAACACATAATGGATCATTGTTGTGATGCTGACAATGATGAATACAAATTGTAGCTTTCTATCAAGGACAGGTCTTCTACATACCATCATCTTTGAGGTCCCACACACGCAGGGTCTTATCTCTGGATGCAGAGACCAGCATGAGGCTGCCATCAGGAGCAAAGGTCAAGTCTCGCACCACATCAGTATGGTCCATCAGATTCAGCAACAGTTTTCCTGCAACAAGCAATTACAGCAAACAGAGGATTAGTGAAGAACGTATCTGTCAGTGCAACTTCAAGTCAGTTTAAGTCCATTTGATTTAAATAGAACCAATTCTAACAGGAGTTGGTTCAGAGCAGTTTTCAGACACAAGCCTCAAATCCTCCAGATCTGTGAGCTTAAGAGAAAACTACAAGGTGAAAAAACACAGATGAAGCAAAACCAGATCTTTGATTAAAGTGTTCTTAAAATACAGATAAATTCTCAAAGAGCTCCAGTGAAATGTCAAACACAACACGTCTGCTGAATACACAAAACAAAATCCCAGGATCAACTCTGAGTATAACACTGTGCCTACACTGGAGAGATATCATGTGATAGCATGTCTTCGAGCACATTACTGTGTATAAGAATCATGCTGAGTTATGGGTAATGGCCTTTAAAGAGCTTCTGGAAAGAGTCCTGAGTATCAGTGTATCACTCTTTGCTTGCTGGCATCCTCCTCCACATTTATTTTTTAGTCGAGTTTGAAGATAGGTAAGACCTTGGTGCAGCACGACGAGCAGTGAAGTGAATTTTAAACCTTCTAGTGGTTCATTTAATTATTTCCCCGTTTGAATAAAAGTTGTAGACCTTCTTTAACTAAACCTACCCGATGAGATTCGCTTCATCTCTACTCACAGCGTGCCTATAATAATGATCATACTGGTTTCTTTCCTCTACACCTTTCTTTTTTATTTTGTTACATCCACGACGGAAGATATGTTTTCATTGCGGATTTGTTTTTCTATCAGCAAAACTACTGAACTGCTTTGTGGAGGAGTGATGCATGAGCTTATTATTTTAACATGGCCATGAAGTGTTAGCTTTGGCAGAGGTATGTGTTTTCTCTAGTTTTGCAAACCTCACTCTTGGAGTAAGCAGAAATGTGGAGCACCTGATAAAAAGGTGTACAGAGCCTACAAAGTGTAGCTGACCAATAAATGGATTGAACACACTGTTCTTGTACAACCACATAATATATGTAGATACATTAAAGCAAAGAAGGAACCATAACTGTATTTAATCATTGCATTTCCAGGCAAAGAGTTGAAGGGCAGTGATAATGGGCTACTGTATGAGCTGACAGAGAATTCAGGTTTTCTCAATCTAATTTTCTAACTTAGTCAGATTTTCACCAGATGAAGGAGAAGAGGTGGTTAAGGCTTAACTTCTTATATATATAACTTCATGATGTGTTCTCACCAGTGTAAACATCCCAGATCTTGATGCGACCATTGTTGAGGCCTGTTGCCAGTAGCAGCTGGTCCTGGCCGAACTTGAAGCGGTGCCACTCGATGTTTACACAGCGACTCTGCTTCTCTGGCACAGAGGAACCGAAGGCCAGGCCCCAGACAATGTCGCCGCAGTCGATGGTGTGTTCGCATGGCTCATCGGCCGCCGGGATGAGCTGGCCTCCGTCGCTGTTCTGACAGGATGAACGCCGCGGGCTCGAGGCATTGGTGCCCACTCCAGAATTGCTCACCGAACTGTGACAACAGAGAGTGGAGAAAAATATACCAGAGGTTCAAAATTGCTGATATTTGCAAAAAGCAGAACCATGCTATAAACAACTGCAAGCTGTTGAGCAATGCTCGCATGATGCAAGACGTTTTTCCCTTGCACGGCACAACAAAATGCATTTTTTCACATTGTTGGAATGTTGTCATATGATTTGCACAAACTACTTTCGACCAAATTGTATGCAGTATATCCATATTTGGTTTATTAGGCCTCAGTATCAGAGCCAATTAAGTTCCACTGACTAAGTGTGTGTTCCACATTTCATTCTGTATATCTTCCAAGGGGAAAGAGTTTGAATGTAAAGAAGCAACAGTAGGAAAAGTTTGGTTTGTATCAGCAGTGAGTGAACAAACATGACACAGCGCTGTTGCCTCACAGCAAGGAGATTCTGAGTTTGAACCAGCTGGCTGGTTGGGCCTTTCTATGAAGAGGTGGCATATTCTCCCTGCGCCTGTGTTGGTTTTCTCAGCCATGACTGACCATTAGCAATTGAGCCACACTGGCACAGTGTATGGAAGACCATTGGAGGTTGGCCAAGCTAACAAGCAGGACCACAGCAGTCCGGCTATCCCCTGCTGGGTAGCTGGGGTAAAAATCCATGTCATCATAGCTGGACATGGCTTAAACCTTAAATGTGGTTTAACAGCTGCAATGTTTGGTATTTGTTTTGTGTGCACTACAGGAAAGAAGCAGCTATAACCAGCATGCTATTTCGGAACAAAAAGTACTTGTTCTACAGACAATTTCCATATGAGAGTCACAAGGCCTGATTGACTAGTAAAAGAGCCTGTTTAGCAGAAAGAGAGCTGATAATGCAAGCCACGTGTCCTTGGCACTGTGGGGCACCTCTTTGTGATCATTCTTTCATTAGGTGGGATTCTGAGGACAAATAAACTGCTAGAAAGTTCTACTGGAAAATAGATTTGCCAAACGAATATTTCATATTCAGATCTGTGTTTACATTCAGTGAGAGAGCAAATTATGACATGTTATATAAAGCAGTACGACTAAGTATTTGGGGCTTTCCTGGGATTTCCACTGCTTAATGACCACAAAAGATAAACAGGACTCAATTTGTAACAATAACATTTTAGTGCAAAGCAGCCAGTGGACTCATTATCCTGCTCCAGTCCAGTCTGTTTTCATGTTTCCACAATTTGTCCTTGGCAGGCACCAAATGCAGTGATCATGTATTTAGACTAATATTAGATTTGTCCCTTCTAATATGAACTATGCACTCATGAAAGTATGCTTTATCAAAGTGTGTGAAAATATTTCTAGAACAACAAGTGGCATTAAACCCCATTGAATTCCGGGGCGTGTTTATCTCAGGGGAATTTTGCTGGTTTACATAATTCCAGTTATTTATCACTTAGCTGCAGACGAGTGCCCTTGAGTTTGAAAAAGTGGAGTTAGACTGTGTGAATGTCGCAATGAAAACAGCATAGCCAACGGCATAGCCAAAGCAAGCTCAGGGATAGTGAATATTCAGTGCATCATGGGCTGGGTTTAGCTTGTAAATGCCTTTGTCACTACAAGTTAAACAGAGGCCACAAAGTCGCCTTTTACTACGCAGCATGTTCAGTGGCTCTGTGCGAGTGTGTCAACGTTATGGTAGATTATTTTTAATGTATTCGTTTGTAGGTCTATAATACTTGACTTCACTAATCCCTGTCTGTGGCTCTCAGCTCCAAGACCATTGGTTCCTACTGAGAAAATAAACCATTAATTTACCAAAACAATCAGTCTTCGCCATCACTAATAACCCATTAGAAGTGTGTGGGGGGTGTATTTATCTGCAGTATGTTCTTATTTTTCTGTGTTGTTTCTCAGCAGCAACCTTTGGGCAGTGGGTGTAAATGCTCCAGCCAATAACAGTGCACAGAGTACAAGGAAGGGACTCCAAAGTAGTGATCAGGTTACGTCAGCATTTCTGTCAGCCTGTGACATGAATGTATACAGAGGGGTGTGTGTCTGTTTTGGCTAGCGGTGGCTGAGCAAAACAAACAGCCACAGCAAACAGAAAGAAGTGTGAGGCCAGCTACATTCACACAAAATCCAGAAATACGGCACCTTCCCAGAGGGTTTTGCTGAAGTGCAGCTGTTTCTTCGCACTCTAGAACGTAACCGCTGCGAAACAATCAAAAACCTTTATTATATTTCTCTGATTCACTGTGTTTTGAATAGTGTTTAAGCAACGGTGCATTAAAAAGGGGTTAAAAACAAGTGAAACTAGGTTATGGGAGATATTTTTGGTGCATTTGATGCATTTACTACCACGTCACCAGTAGAAATATGACAGGAGGTCAGGTGAGAGAGATGGGGAATAACAAGAGTTCCACGCTGGAATTCAAGGAACCTTGCAGCTCATGGTCGGCATTTTAACCTCTGGATTACGAGGGCTTCTCTTGTTTTCACAAATTATGAATAAAACCTTATGCATGCTTGTGATCATCGTCACAAAGTTTGTTCACACACTTGGATAGTTAAGACGTGTTTTATACAGTAAATATTGTCCTAGGACATTTATTTATCTCTGTTTTACTGTTGTTAAGGCAATTGTAGTGACTGAGTGCAATTAAGTATCAACACTTACAAGCTCTTCAGGCATTTTGCCCAGGGAATGAGTCTGACAATGCGACGCCCCTGAGACCAAGCGATGTAGGAACCATTAGGTGCAAAGGCTACCGTCCAAGCCTCTCGCCCAGACTTCTGGTCGAAGGGAACAACAGGCACCAGGAGTTCACCGATGAACTTAGCCTTACCTGGAAAAAAACAAAGCAGTTAGATCAGCCATAGGATCACTTATTAACACTTTATAACCCTTCCGGTGTTATCAGGTCCACCCACGGGAATTCCAATCTTCCAGAATAACATCCTCGCTCTGGTGCCAGCATCTGACTGTTTACCAGATCATTTGTACCGAAACAGTGGGTGCGGAACTAGATACACGATGAAGACAACAAGATAAATAAGTTAAATGTGCTGTAATATAACGGACTGAAATGAATAGTGTGCAATATTTATGAAGGAACGATATACAAAATAGACTGATGGATCAAACATATATTTGTTTACATTCTTTAGCCATGTTTGAGCTCGGAGTTAATGATTAAACTTCCCAGAGCCCACTAGCATGAGGCAGTCACATCTGATAAGTGACCTTTGGTTTGCACTTCCCCTGCAAATCTTGTATTTAGATTAGGGAAACGCAACTAACGGGCTAATATGAACAATTTCACAACTGTAGATAAAATACAGGAAGCAGCAGGACGAATGAGCTGGATTATCTTAGCGTGGAGGTAGCTCTAAACCCCCCAGTGAGGTTAACTCAAGAGTTTCACATCGATCAAAAGTTTGAGGTTCTGGATAAAGTCACAGATTCTAAAATGAAGGTGATCGGTGAGACGGTGATCGTGCACACGGGCACGTACGTCTCCGTGATGTTATGAATCATCTGGAGCTGGTGTGTGGGGGAGGGAAGCTCAGTCTGCATCAGCAGCCCCGCCGCAGGAAAAAAAATAAAAAAAATCATTGACGGACAGAAATGCATGAAAAAGCACGAAGAGTTAAACTAAATGAGGTGATGGCGATGTGAGGTGTTTGACACCGACTGGAGAGGGAGGTTTTATTCAGTCAGGACGGAGCAACACCAGCATTTAACCTGCATTCCACTCGGACGGATCTCAAGTCGCCCCCCGGTGAACAGCGGCCGCTGCTCCGGAGAGTCTCCTACGCAGTGTTTAACGTCCTGCGCGTGGTTTAGTGTTCTCAACACAAACTAAACACGATGCAAAACAATAATACTGGAACATAGGTTATATAGGTCAGGTACACTTATATAT